ACGAATTTCGTAAGTAAAATAAGAAAGACGTTATTAAATTTTATCATAATCGAATCATTAGTTTTCATATTATAACAAAACAAAAATGTTGCCATAAAATATCTCCAAATTACATAGATGACATGTTTATATCAGCGAAAAAACAAAAGATAGCGTGTCTATTTTGAATTCATTGAAAGTTTAACGGGTATGTACCTATATTTTTATGTAAGTAGGTATATTCCCAGATTCCTTCTTGAATTGGTAATCAATTTGTCTTAAAAAAGCTGTTTCTCTGTGACTTTGCCCGCGTAAATCAGCCTATATCACCCTTGGATGATGGAGCTGCCTTTAGTAATTTCGAAGTATATTCAATGCAAATAAACAATGAAATATTTCCTTTTTATAATATCTGTATAAATACAATCTTAATATATAAGAAAACTGACTGATATTTCGACGAACAGCCCAAACTACTAGGTTTAGAAACTTCAAATATTAGAATATGCTTCTTTTTATAATATAGGTGACTACTAATAAAGGATTTTTGGATTTTCTCTCTTTAAAGGGATAAAATTGAGGGAGTAATTTTCTATGAAACTCCTTCAGCTTGAAGGTAGGCTACTAATAAAATATTTGTGGGTTGTTTCCTACAGTTGAAAATACAGATTTCGGCCATATTTTCAGAAAATATGAACCATTTAAAACTCATAAATATGTATAAAGTAAATTTTATCACACTTCTTTGGAAACGATTACTCTTTAAGAACTTGAAAAAGGGAAGGGAAAATAGATTATAAAGTTTTTCTATTTTTTATTACATATAGCACATAAATACTCACTTAATACATAAACGCATAAATAACAAAGACGAAAAACGTATGGATACCCATACGTTTTTCGCCATCGCAATAAGGCGTGACGTCACCTCGTGGCTTGAATTTGTAGGGAGCGTTATTATCGGCCGACTAGCAGCAATTACACTATCACCGAAACTATTAATTCTACATTATTTCTCAGATATAAATGAGGTATTTAATTATAAAAAAGTAGTCGACTAGCCTAAACCGAGTTCCAGATTCTGTGATTCCAGCGTGTGTCGATTGTCATGTGTACTACGCAAGTGAAACCATCGTGCTTACATATACCGTCTTATAATAAAACGAGGACATACTTTAGTATCAGGTTTAAATCATTATCCGAGCAAAATAAACAACACTTCTTATCTAAACGTTTTCTTTTCTTTCTGTCATTGTCTTGTCAATTTGCCTAATTTTAGTCCTCGTGTTTATAACAAGACAAATACTTACTACCTATTATACTCCATTCATTATAAGATTAGAAAAAAGAGGGTCACAGAAGCACCAGTGCAGAACATTTTATTTTCAAGATAGATTTTAAAAATATACATAATAGTTTTGTTGAAACTTTGAACGTTAGGTAGTCTGAAAGAGTTGGGCAATTTTCCATTTTCTTTTGCGATGAGGCTAGAATTTTGTAAATTCATCTTTTACTCCCAAGCCAGTATTGAACTATAACTAGCTACCTACTCTTTTGATAAATTCTAATTGTAAGTGTATAATTAGAATAGAATTTAGTTATATTTATGCCCATGAAAGAAAGGTAAACAAAATGAAATTTTTATTATTACTTGTGACCACCCATTCATTCAGACATTGGAAAAACTTCCTGAAATATCAGAGGTAATTGTTGTAGGCCATTCGGACCTGCACCGGAATCGTCCGTATTTCGCAAAACTTAACTTCAAAAAGATAACAACTAAAACAAAACTATAAGAAAACAACTCAGTCACGGAATACGGTAAAACAACAAGAAGGGCAATAACATTCACAATTAATGAGAATCCCAGATTACGTATTTTGACTATTATAAATACATCATAATCTGACAAAATTAAAAAGCTGTACTACCGAAACGTTTGAAGGGATTAGGCAACGTTTTAAATTTGGTAGAGTTATAGTGACATGAGAATCGTGCCGAGAGTATCCAACCCTGCTTCTCTAGGTTCTTTAAGATGAACACTTTTTATTGTAAAAGTTATTAAATCTTTTAAGTTAGTCGAATACTCATAATTTTGTTTAACAGATAGCTTAAACGACAACTGTTAAGTATAGCAGCTGGTACTTAAGTGGATATGTAGCAAATAAGCCGTCAATCTTAAGAGTAACATGATTTAAAATTTTATTTCACAAAGTATACCATAAAAAGAACCTTATTTAACTTCTGTCTAATGCTATAATGAATGGAGTATAGTAGGCTTTTAATTAAGGTAACTTGTTTATTTGCTTTATAAAAATGTATATCCAATAAACGAAGGCATCGGTGAAAAAGAGAAATGAAATATCTTATTCGAAACGTAACTTATTTTGTTACAGTACCTATATTACACAATACGTTAAAAAAGAATTTCATAACGCCCGCAATCACAATTCAACAGGTTATATCTCACCTACAAAGGAATGAGTGATTTATGAAAAGAACATTTTTCTCGCTGAGTACGTGCGAGCTTATTTCCGTTCAAACATTCGGATTTCGGAAATGTTGAGAATATGCTCCTTAATATATAAAAGCTTGTTAAATCTTATTTTCTATTTTAAAATATAAAAAAAGGTTTAACAAGCTATACATATATCTAAATATATATAACTCAAAGGTGACTGACTGACATAGTAATCTATCAACGGATACCCCAAACCACTGGAGAGGTCGGGCTAAAATTTGGCGTACAGGTAGATGTTATGACGTAGGCATGCTATGACGTATGACGTAGGCGTAGCGGATGCTAAGAAAGGATTTTGATCAATTCTACCCCCAAGGGGGTGAAAAAGGGGATGAAAGTTTGTATGAAACTTTGTCAATTTTAAACCCATCGGTCTGAGTAGTGGTAATGACATAATGTAAATATCAAAAAACCCGACTGCGTAAAAACGAATTTAAAAAATACATATAAAGTACAACAAAAAAAATAAAAAGAAAGAAAACAAGCCCAGTAGTTTAGAATTCTGTTAAGTAATACTAAATAACTACACAATTGAAATAGTTTGAAATAGAACAACTCACAGTCGGGGCCCATTCAAATTTTACCAATCAAATCTTTCCAAGGGGCCCCGACTATGAGTCATTCTATTTCAAACTTCTATTTCAAACAGAGCAGCAGCTCCATACTTCTTATTAAACTTTAGTGACATAGAGTTAGTTGCACAAACGTCCATTAAAACTGTCATTAGTTTAAAATGGCATTACCCATACAAATTTAACCTTCATTAGAACTTAAAGGCATCATTAAAACTTAATGGACGTTTGTGTAACTGACCGTAAATAGGCTATACAAAAGTATTTACTATTAATAAAACCTTATTAAACTGGGTATTTTACAATACCTATAAACGAGTAATTATTATATCCCGAATCGGCTTAAATGGTTTTCATGAAATTTAGAAGGCAAACAAGAGGTTTCGGGGATAAATAAATCGATCTAGCTAGGTTTCATTTTACCAAAAATAAATATCGAGTATGTCATCCAGGTACCTATTATGCTATTTCCTCAGGCCTTCTTCTTGTATGTTTTGTATATATATTATTATTATTTATTTATTATTAATGTACTAGCCCGCAGTCTTTTTCCGTAGTTGGTATACTTTCCTTTAGCCACTGGTTGCCTGGTAGATATTGCTACTTTAGCAATAAGGCCGCCTTTTGCATGCATATTATTTTTTTTTATTTGTAATAACTATTTATTTTTAGTGCAATAAAGTGTTATCATTTATTTAGTAATTTTACCTTTATTTAGAGAAACTACAAGTTACATAGGTAATAATTCTTATATTTAGTTTTTTGTAGTACATTTAAAAGATAGGTAAAATATTCTCAGTCACTGCAATTACCTTGGCGAGCTTCAAATACGCCTACGGAAAAAAGATAACATTATTATCGCAATGTCTACAGAAAACAAAACCGGAATGATGGTAAAGAAACAAAAATGTATCGATCATAATTAATAATAAACAAGATCTTGATGATGTCAGAATAATATCTCAATATTAACACACTTTTATTATCTATTTACAAGTTATTTATCAAAGACATTTTTATATTAAAAATGTGATAGCTTGTCATGAATATAAAATCAGACGTTGGAAAGAGGAGTACTCTTCTTAATTTCTCATACTTTTTCTGATTTTTATACCAATTATAATATGATTGATTTGTATTCCCGTATCATATATCTTTTTATTTAATTAAAAACCACCAAATCATTTGCTGTCCTAAATGTTCAAGTGGCCGGCTTGCTGGTTTCAAGGTGTCGCCATCTCTGACGTCCCGGGTTCGTTTACCAGTCGAGTTAATATAGAAAATTAACATCTGCGAGTTATAGTACCTTCGTTATTTCAGATTGCCATAGTAATTTGAGCAATGTATGTGAAGTTGTCCAATATTTATTTATAGTTACTATTTCTATATTTAGTAACAAACTTCCTATTGTAATAAATAATAATAGCCTAAGAGCCCGCGACGGGCGCACATTCGTTATTTTATAAAATCTGAAAGTTTCTCTGAGCATGCCACCCAAGAAAGAATGATCAGGGAACGATCGGCCGATTTCTGAATAGAGAAAAGGACAAAATCTCAACTGATTATTCTCAATAACTTAAGTTTTTTTACTTTTCACAAGGCAAGGTCCTAGTTTTTATCGAACAACTACCAACTGATCATTAAAAAAACTAAAATCAGAAACGAAAACTTGTTTAAGTGATGTTTGAGGCGTGCTTAGTTTTGAATATTCAATTCAGAAACCGGGTGAAGGAAAGTTTGGCGGTTACTTTAGTAGTATTTAGAAGTTACTTTAGTGTATACAAAAAAAAATATCGAATACCATGGACGTCACTGAATTCGGTATGTATGTATGTATGTTCAGGACGTCACTGTTTATCGAATATATTACGGGAATCAGAGAGCTGTCACTGTGACTTTGATATTGACATAAGAGGAGATTCGCGCCAAGATACCGCTCGAATGAAAATATGGAGATAGTGTTGTAAAATTAAAATAAAATTGTTTTTTTAAAAAGTATGTAACAAAGAATAAACATTTATAAAATAGGGATATACTTACCTCGAATCCTTAATGTATAAAGTTTAATCTTTTCATGTTTTCTATTGTTTTTGTATTTTATATTATGTATTTTTTGTTTCCGAACGTTCTTACCTGTGTTAGTGACAGACGTGACTTGCCCAGTGACACTTTCAGTTTGAAAATAGCGAAGATCGGACCGTCATCGTTGACTCATGCTCTATATGTAAATTATTTACACTTACTTATTCCACAATTGCGTGCACAAATCAATCTTGCTGGATTGAAATAAGACACATTATCGGTGCCACATACAGGATTGTATTCTGATGAAGTTGGACAGTTTTGTACGCATTGTTTTTGCTCAGCCGTTGGACTGTCACTGTTCAAGAAATTTTATAGAGTAACATATAAATTACATACAAATTCACAAACTCATAATTTTTATCATAAGCTATCCACGATTGTATTACAATTTAGGTGCGTATTATTTTAAACAAAGCCACTCGCTTTTAGATTTTTTCAATGCACCATATATTTTTTAATTTCGATGATAGCTTCAGTATCTACCATTTCATTTTATAATATTACTTTTTGTTAATATATTAGTTTGTTTGCAAAGAAAAATAACATCATATTCTCATCTTTATTAGATTAAAATTACCTTTAACAACTACTGCCAGTATCAAAATGAAGAACTAAATTTTCGACGCCGAATTATTATTCAATGATTCATCAAAACCTTGATCTTTTAACATCACATCAAGAAAGTTAAAAATATTGATTATATATTCAACTGAAGTATCTCAAAGGCACAATTTGTCCAAGGCCCGATGTAGATATTTCGCCGCTTCAGGCAAATTATCATATGTCAGCGTACTCGAGCTTTTGTATTACAAAGAAGTAGCGTTTTTCAAATAAAAAAAAATATATATTTCCAAACTTTACGCCTAGTTATTTTCACTCAAGACAAAAAGAAGAGCGGCTATAAGTATGTACAAAGTTCTAAATTCATCAATCACAAAAAAGTTTCTAAACTCATAAACAATATTTCAACTCAATATCTATAGGTACACAATAAGAATTAATTTCTTCGATATTCATTAAAAAGTGTGGCGAATATATCTAATCATAGAAATTGAAACAAAAATAAACATAATACCTAGTTACCTACTTGTTTATGAATGCAACTTGATCTGAAGATACAGTACTGGTCGGTATAGAAACAGGTTTTCCCACAATTGCAATTCTCTTTGTCGACGATATGATTTGAGGTGGTCTTGTTGTTGCAATTCTGGTTACCATTGGGTTATTACCACTGTAATCATCATCCGGAAACTTTATTGCTCCGTCGTTAAAATTTAAATCTTGACCATTATTTATAGTTTGTTTGTTTTCCTTAGTCAAGTTGTCATTTCTTTGATTATTCCACGAATTGGAACCAGGAAATGGTTGATCAGATATGCCATTGTTAATATTTACCTTCGTATCTTGTTGATTTAAATTTTGTACTTGATTATTATTGATATTAACCTGCGGTTTATACATATTGTTTTGGTCCAAGTAATTAGGTTCCGTTCCTTGCTCATATTGATTCCGAGGAGCGCCTTGCTTCTGAAAACTTCTGTCATTTCCTAGTAACTGACCGCTTGGGTCTTGGCTCTGTCGATTCAAATTATTTAGTGCTTTTTGGTTGAAATTCTGACCCTGGTTGTTTGGGTATGGAGGATTCTGGCTATTCGGTCGATTGAAATAATTATTATTGAAACCATTTTCTTGATTACTGTTTTGACTCATCAAATTTTGTCCTTGATCCGGTGTCCAATTTCGCGGATTATTGAAACCATTTCTGATCGGTCCATAATTATTATATTGATTCTGGTTGTCATATTCATTTGGCCTACTATTAATATTAGAACCTTGACCCTGTAGAGCGCCTAATTGAGATTGACCTTGTTGAAAGCCTGAATTTGGAAGATTCCCCCCCTGTCCATTCTGATTCCATCCACCATTTATTGGATTACCATTTAAGTTGGCGGGGTACCGTCCTAAACTACCTTGATTGAAATTTTGTCCGGGTTGATTAATGTTATTTATTGACCCTTGCCGATTAAAGTTGACATCTAACGGCAATCCTTGATTCTGTGCTGACGGTTGTTGAATATTCTGTCGATTAGAATTCCAGCCATTTCCTTGATTAATAGGTACTTGAGAATACCAGTTCTGTAAAGTTAATATTAAATTTAAAAGCAGAAACACAAAATAAAAGTAATTAAAAAGGAAGAACTTAATTGCGGACGCCACCTGACCACTGTTTAAGTAAAAGTCTAAGAATCTAGTGAGGTTTACTTACCTGAGCTGGGACACCGGGATAAAACTGCGAATTAGATGGCAAATTAAAGCCGGGATTCTCACCGGCGGCGCCTCCTTGATTAAAACCCGAGAATAGTTGGTTAATAACTCCTCCGAGGTCGAAAAATCTTGATTCCACCTTGGTCGGCGTGGAAGTTGTATTTTCCTTTTTAGACTCAATGTCAATGTGTTTTGTTTCGTTTTTGCTATCACACAGGGATGATGAACAGAAGCTAACTGTAAAGTTATTAGAGTTATATTGTTAGAATTCACCAAACAAGTCTCCACAGAATGACAGCAATCTTTATTTGTGTATTATAATAATAGGTATGTAATCCGTATATAATCTGTAATATTCACTCGGGTTAATTAATATGACAGAAAAATCTGATTATCTGATATTCACGAATTAAGCTAATAAATACTGTTATATTCTGAGGAATAAATCAATAGCTCTGACATTATTACAAAACAATTCGAATGAACTTTAACCCTTCCAAAAATAGATTCCACTTCCATATTTAATAGTCTCTATTTTATAATTTCGATAGATAGGAAAGATTTGATTAATTTTTGGTTCGTTTATTTGGAGATGTTTTAAGACGACAATGATGCATAAAAAAAAAGGTTTATATCTTACATTAATATGACATTTTAATTTGATTTTTTAATTCCAAGCCTAAATAAAGAGATTTTATCTTGTTTCATTCTATCTTTCTCAACTACCTAGCTCTGCAAATTGTTCAAACTATTGAAACGGAAAGCCTTTAAAATGAATCACTAATATTAATTTAATTGTGAACATTAATTCCATTATAATTAAAAACGAGATAACATAATCTTTCTAAGATAGTAGTATTAAACTTAAATAGATATAAAACATTGTTGGTGCTAGCATACGAAGATACTTCTCAAGTAAATACAACTATATTCAATCAGTTCTCACAAATTATGTTATATTTTAGTGAAAATTGATATTAGATATACGTAACATCATATCACATAGATTGCTCAGATTCTCAGATCAGTAGCTAATGCCCCCGTATTATGGAGTATCCGAGACAACAAGAATACCATAACACTCAGACTCCAAACAATACAGAAAAGTCCATTTTCTATATTGACCGGACTGGAAATCGAATCCGGGACCTTAAAGATGGCGACACTCTGAAACTGGCGTGCCAACCACTCGGCTACGGAGGTCGTCATAGGTTGGTAGTTAAGGTTTGATACTTGCCACTAATCATCACAAAACAAACTGTTGTAGCATACGAGTACGCTGTCCTTTGGTCATCGCTATTATAATATAGCCTTCGCTATAAAATAAATTTCTTGTTTCAAACTTTTTAGAGCGTGATTTAGCTGTAGTCGGGTTTTAGTTTATGAACTTATTTTTTGTCTATAATGAGGGTACTTCAAAATTGCTGAACCAATTTTTAAAATTCTTTCGCATATAGAAATCTATATCATACGTGGATGACGGCTAATTCACATGGGTGAAGTCGCGAGAAAACTGTTAAAATAAGAATATGTTAACATTTGATGTTAACATAATCTGAACTTTTTCGAAATGTCAATAAAAAAAAAGTAAATCAAAAGCTCATTACCATAGGCATGCACACAATATGCTGTAATCTAGTAGGTAAATTGAGTTACTAGTTATTATGTAAGTATTATTATACAAAATATATAAAACTAAAAATTTCTTACCTAAAATTAAGATCAATGCAATCGTGTACTCCTTCATATTCATTATAAAAATGAATAAAACACCTACTAAGGCACAATTAAATTATTTTATATCAAAACAATATCATAACAAACAATATTGCACATGTACAGTTTGACCACGACTAACTTGATAATGGAAGAGAAAACATTACCTTACTGACCACAACCGCATACATTAATTAATTTAAAATCGTTTACTTAATTTTCAACGCTGTTAACCAATGTATTAATTATAATTCGACATTTACGTATCCATGATTCTGAGTCATTCCCTAATGTGTAAATACCCATTCATTAAAGAGCTTTGACCTCTATTTATAAGAGTTTGGATGTTTATATTATTACTTATTCCATGATGTATAAGTACTTCTTATTTATCAGCAAAAAATAACACCTATAGATTATCTCTATTATGCACAATCAATTATCTTAGTGAGTATGTATATACGAGAATCTCATAATAATAGCAAACAAACATTGCCTATATGAAACTGGTTTTCGCAGTGCTGTTTGGATTCGGGTTTCCGAACAACTGTTCGAATTTAGGTAGGTATCCGATTATAAGTACACTATCGGATGAAAAGTGTAAGAAAAGAGTGTTGAGGGCAAATCCCGATGTGATCTAAAGAAGGAAAAACCAGCCAGAGATGCCCAAAGCGACAAAAGTAAGAAACGGCTAAATTGAAAGCGCCCGGCAGACGAATAATCTAGAAAGAAAAAGTACCTAATGATAAATTGGGTTGACTCAAAAATATGCACTCATATAGGTACTCCTTTAGAAACCACAGACTATTCCCTAAAATAACAATGCAAATTTTATACAACAATATAACATTGCGTAACAAATTTTCAGAGATGTGACTTATCTTAGATACAAGTATTTGAAATACAGATACAAGATACAAAATACGTATTTTCATCTTGTATCTAAAATACTTTTTTTAGGAAGTATTTTGTATCTTGTATTTAAATACTTTTGTTTAGTATCTTAGTATCTTTTAAATACTTTTTCTGATAAAATACTTTATAAAAAGATTATTTCTTACATTTTATAAATATCACAAAACATTCTTTGCCTAAAACATACATATTTACAAAAAGAAAGTGTTCAATTATCAACGCAATGAATATTTAGTTAAAAATAACTCGAATCCAAACATTGTTTGGTGCCATTTAAAAAGTAAATGCGTAGAACTGAACGTATGCTTATACCGGTGTAATACACCCTCCCTAGTAAAAATTGATAGATGGCGCATAGGGCTTGAAATCGAATAACCAGTTACAAGCAATAGAAAATCTTGATTTATGTAAAAACCCGGTTATATGCTATAAATAAAACTCAGTATATCAATTAAACTCATTATTAAATTTTATTATTTTTTTGCACATTATACTTTTTCCACTAACAACAGCATTCAAAAAGTTTATTTTTAAAGAAATTTCACTGTGAAATTCGATACATGGCAAATGCTTGTAATTTTATCCCGTGAGCAAAGCAATATTGCCTTTATTGACTTAACAGTTAATCTTTTTCTGTCTTTTGACTACTGCATATTCATGAGCGAAATAAAAAACAATATTCGCATTATGAGGCATAATACAAAAAAATACTGACAAATCTTCAGTAGTTCGGAAACGAGTGCTGTCATTGCATATATTGAAAATAATTACCCACTGCTTTTCAACTAATTCGTCATAAAAATAAATTTGTTAATAGAAAAAATTCTTCAAATAATTTCTTTGACATCCTTTATTTTTCAAAAATACAACACAATCTGTGATGTAATCGTGTGGTAGATTTTGCTTTAATAAGTAACCATTTAATTCAAGGGATCTTTATTGAGAAACAACAAAAAAATGGGCGGAGTCCTGTCTTAATATTAGGTCTTTACCTATGTAATTGCCGTTCTACTGTACTAGCCATTTAAAATCAAACTATTTTTTGGCTGATAATTCTAATATCAAATTATTTTTTCTTAAATCGTCATTTGTTCAATAGTAAGTGTTTTGTTTTCAATGAATTTGAATATTTTTCGTCGTCATGGATAAGTTAAAAATTCGAGTAATTATGGAGTACGAGGGTCAAACTGAAAGTTCTTAGAAAATCAAAAACTGATTACATTAGCCAGTTATTAGTTTTATTATATCTTTTCAAAATATTGTCCATTCACGTCAATACACCGCTGCATGCGATGGAACCACTGGGAAAAGCACTTTGCCCACTCGTCCTTAGGGGTCTCTTCAATGGCATCGCGATACGCAGCCACCGCTTCTTCAGCATTCATAAACCGCTTTCCTTTAAGTTTTTCTTTAATTTTTGGAAATAAATAAAAATCACAAGGCGCGAGGTCGGGGCTATACGGCGGGTGACCCAGTAATTCAACGTTTGATGTCGCCAAATAGTCGATCGTTCGCTTGGCGGTGTGCGACGAGGCGTTGTCGTGGTGAAGGAGGATCCTACTGCGAGGTCGTTTCTCTCGAACTTTTTCCAAGACAAGTGGCAAACAATTGGTAGTGTACCATTCTGCAGAAACTGTTTTTTGATCCTCTAACACAATTGTTGCAAAATGACCTATCCTTCCAAAGAACGAGGCCACCATTTTTTTTCCCGCACTTCGATCTCTCTTCACTTTAGTTGGCAACTCCTCGAAAGGAAACACCCACTGAGCAGATTGTCTTTTGGTTTTAGGATCATAACAGTAAATCCAGCTTTCGTCACCTATTAGTATGTCGAACACAGCATTTGAGTCACCTCCGTTAAATCTTTCAATCATTTTACGACACCAATCCACACGATGGAGTTTTTGAGCCTCAGTCAAATTATGAGGTATCCACCGGGCGCAAAGCTTCCTGACCGCTAAATGTTCGTGGAGGATTTTGTGCACTTGACTCATACCGATGCCTAAGCTTGTCCGAATCTGTTGATAGGTCACTCTTTTGTCAGTCTCTATCATACGCCGCACAACACAGATGTTATCTTCAGTCGTCGCCGTAGAAGGCCGTCCCTCACGTAAATCATCAGTGAGATTAGTGCGACCATGTTTAAACTCATTAAACCAGTTGTAAACAGTCGCACGAGATGGGGCTTCATCGTGAAAGGCCAATCGTAGTCTATCATAACTTTCTTGTTGACTTAAATGACATCGAAAGTCATAAAAAATCATTGCACGAAAATTTTCTCGTGTTAAATTCATGATGACGTGACACAGACAATTTTCAATTTGCCGCCAAATCGTAAAACAAATGACAAATGAATGAAATATATACTCAGTAATATTGGCAAAGAGTTATATTTTCAAATTTTAGAATTATTTTTTTATTATATTGTTTATAAGTGGCCAGTTCTAAGAACTTTCAGTTTGACCCTCGTATGTGTGCCATCGAGGCAGCAAAGCATCACAAGCGGCACGCAACATTACAACGTTTGCAGAGCGAACACTACAAACGAACGCACCACCCGTTATTGGTTTGCCCGTTATTGGTTTACGAAAAGGTTGCTGTTTGGTGGTCTAACGCGGATGTATTTCATCACAGCTTCTTAACAAACAGGACGAGCATTACTGCAGATTTACTGTGTGTATTGTGAAGAACTGAACACAATGACGGAGAAGCTGGCACAACTCCAACCAGGTTTTGTCAATCGTTCGGTTCCACTGCTCCTGCACGACCACGTACGACCTCATACTACACAATTGGCGGTACCCAAGCTACAAGAGCTGGGGTTTGAAGTTCTCCGTCATCCGCCGTACTTAACAGACCATGCGCCTACAGACTTCTTATTCTTCCAGAATTTGGATAACGTCTTAGCGGGAAAAAAATAAATTCCCGAGAGGCAGTACAAAATGCCTTTGAAGTATTTGTTGCCTCCCGTCCAGCTGATTTCTTCAAGAAGGCATTATTAAACTACCAATGCGTTGGCAAAGATGTATTGATTGCATGGGTGATAACTTTGATTAATAGAAATAAGAAAATAAAGCTTCATTTATTTTATTAAAAACGGAAATATCATAGATAAAGACTTAATTAATACTTCAAATCCGGTTGAGACCGGATTTATCCGATCAGATGGTAACTAATGGCGCATTACCAACAGTACCAGCAATACCAACTCTACGTCTTTTTAGGTACATCTACGTATTATAAACATTTCCTACAAACCAACGTACTATAATCAACCACAGAAGCTAAGTATTTTCCACTAAAAATTTTCAAATTTGCTTAACACACTAAAGGGGCATAATTATCGGTAATTCTGCAAAAAAAGTTAATATACGTTCCGTTACATACTATCGCACATTCACCTCGTCACAAGTCACGCCATTAATTTTAAAAACCAAGTACTGTCTTTATTTTTACCCATTCTCTTCATCTCACTAGGAAAAAATGAATTTTCAGTTCTCCGTAATTTTACGTCGTACGTAAAACCACTTTTTAAATAAATAATAATTTTATAATAAATTTAAATAATTATTGTTGTTGTTATATTTCAGCAATTTTTCATTCACCATGCTATATTGAAAAAAAAATATTATTAAAAAGGAACTAAAAAATTTAAAATAATTTAAACCTGATGTATTAAATATTTGCATTTTTATATGTTACATTGTGATTGACAAACAAATAAAACGGAGGAAAAGTGGGTGAAATTTAGCTTGTAAGATTTGAGTACAAACATAGGTGAAACTAAATAAAAGCTTACAAAAATTGTTTCTAATGAAAAATGCTTAAAAAATCCACTTTGTCCCTGGAACCATCTGGTCTAAGATTTAGGTTTTTGTGGTCTTTAATAAACAAACTGAAATTCAAATCTTTTTTTAGAAAAGTATTTGTATTTGTAAAAAGTATCTATAAGATACCTATTTTGTATCTAGTATTTCAAATACTTTTCTCGAAAGTATTTTGTATCTGGTATCTGAAATACTTAATTTAAAAGTATTTTGTATCTTGTATTCCAGATACTTTGTACAGGGTATTTTGTACATCTCTGCAAATTTTATACAACAATATAACCTTCTTTATAATAGAAAGCTAAATATTAATCATCATTCATTCCGAATGCGATTGCGCCATTACCGTTACGTAATTCCGTAATCGCTATCACACTCGTTATACGTTCGAAAAGAATTAAGGTAGAATTTAAATTAGACGATTGGACCACAGGCCCTGATTGATCTGGGCCTTACCCACTTTTCGCCTTCGCGTCTTCTCAATACCCTGATCTCGTAGCATTGAAGATAAACGTCCTCCCAATACCCAGATCTTGTAGCATCGACAATGAACTTTAAAGATGTACGTGATATCACTCATGAAGTTTATAGGGTTTGTAGTAGTGTGAAACCCAGTTGCCTTCATCAAGATAAGGTCCCCCTTCACAAAAATCAGTTCCAAACGTGTTAACGTTAAATTAATGATATTATTCATTCAATACAAATGTCGGAATCGCAATAGATTACACATGTCAAATAGTTGTAGCCTGAAGTTTTTTAATATCTTTTAAATGACAAATTGAAAGGGTTTGCGATAAATTTTAATATTAGACAATTGGACCCCTGTGCAAAGCTTCATTCTTACCTATTTATATTCATTCAAGGCAGCCTTGATTAATCAGAGGCGTTGGTCGGCATGAAATCGAATAATAAATTAAATCATTCACTATTTGTGTATGCCTCCGACCTCCGACCATAATATAAATACATTATTGAGACTTGATGTAGTTTTGTAAGTAAGTGCAACTAACAACTAAGAGTTAATAAAACTAACTTGCCTAGTTACTAGTTGTTATTATTTTGAGAACTTTTATTAAATATTATAATGAAAAATGCCTGCAATAGCATAAGTATTTTTTTTTATAAAAACTATTTACGTTTATATTATTTTATACCGTAGCTAAATGCTACTTTTAATAATTTAACAGCATTAATTCTGTTAATTTCCATAACTTTTTATAAACCTTCTCTATACTCACTCCCATTAAGTTAGTTTACATTTTCCTTTATACTAATAAAAAAATAAAATTATTCAAAGTTTTGTTCGTATTAATCGAGTTACGTTTGCGTAACTCAAACTAATTGAATTTCAACTTGATATTTATCCGAATTATCAGATCCATTACAACACTGAGAATTTTATTGTAACGTCATGAATTGACATTTAGATCCTATAATTTGTGCTGCCATCTTATCACGTAAATCTTTGGTTTTTCTTTATATTTTTTTAAATACTTCCCCATTGCTACCGATGGCTAGGCTGTATGAACAAAGATCTTTTGTCTTTGTTTAAAGTGTATTTTATGACTTTGGTATCAAGTGAACCTCCACAATATTTTTCAACTTAATGAGAAAGTATTTTAAGAAAAAAAAAGATAGCACCAAAAGAGCACCTCCACTAGATGGTGACTCTACCAAAAGTTGACTTTTGCAGGAAACAAATGAACCAAAGATAGTCATTTCTGTTCCTTTTAACTAACATTAAAAAACTGAAATCTGCAAAGTTTGAAACTTACATATCAATACAAATACGAAAAAGTACAAATAGAATATGAGTTGTTTAATTAATTTAAAAAATTAGTTTACTTTTATACATGAAAGAAACCCGGAAGGGTTGTCATGGAGAAATTAAGAAAGTATGGTAGCGACATCTAGTTTAAATTTTGGGAACTGATTTTTGTTTAAATACTCTCTCATTCTCTGAAACGCTTTTACTCTTTGCACTTCATTCGATTCTATGTTTCGATAAGTTGGTATTGTATGTAATCGATATTGCTGTTTTTTCGCAATCGAAATATATCCATACGTTTAGATTTCGATATATACCGATTGTCGGATACATCGTTGTATCCTTAAATATGACGTATTACGGTAACTGTCCACACGGTATGAAGTACGATAACTTACTATTATCGTTCACTGATAATACGAATTTTTCATGTATATGCAAATTTTAAAAATTCACTTTATTTCTATCTAAATAGCCAGATGATTTATCCTTCCCGTTTGTTCATAGCACGGACTAATATTTCCAAATTTGTCCGTAGACTAGAGCAAGGGAAACTTTATAGTATTACTGTTAAATGGTTATTATTACTTATCTTATAGAACGAAAAAGTACCAAATTGGTTCAAATCAAAAGTATTGCGTACTTATATCGAATAATGATGTATGCTTAGTTACTTTTTTATATGCAGCGGCGAGATGTTTCGTCTCCTCGCTGACTGTCGAAACAACGAGTGTCATATAGACGTCGGAAGAAAGGGACAGTCAGTTGTTTTAATGGGGTAATACTCATTTAACAACGGGATCGTTAATTAAACTCGATAAACTCACAAATCTTTCAGCGATTCATCGCTAACACAAATGTACTTTGTTTTAAAAATTGAGAAATTTGTTATTAAAATAGTATTTAAGTAATTGCATTTCAAAAGAACTTTATAAAATACGTGATATCAAAAGACAAATAAAAAAAGGTGAATCGAGTTCGACCCTGGATAAAAGCCCCACCCGCCCGACAACCGCCACCCCACTTCATTTTTCTGTCGGGGATTCCCTTACTCAGTCGTATAAAATAATAGTACAATTCCTATCAGAGCTTAGTCGCCGCTGATCGTTTGCGCTGGAGTGCTGTTGCGCATCGCCACCGACGCACCGCTGCGAAGCGCCTTTTTGTCGATTTTTGTTTTGTTCTAGTGCATTTTTAATTGAATTTTTGTTAATAAAATACTACAATGTTCGTCTTGAGTGTTAAGTGTAGTTTAGTAAAGATTGTGTTTAGTTTTGTGTGAAATGTGATGTGTTTTGCGCATGTATGCACCGGCATGCAAAAGAGCTTGCTTAGCTCAATCTTCAGAGTCCTCTCTGACAATTGACATTTTCAGCATCGACTATCATCAAGACATCGGTAAATAATTGAATTAAATTAATGTATTTCGTGGTCCGTTGTAATCTGCGCACAATCGATATTGCGCATGCGCGTTATAGGGCTCTCAATATATATATAAATTAAAAAATTTAACTTCATTTTTACACCTTCTTTATTTTGAAATATTTGTTAAATAAAATGATGTTTGCATGTAAAGTGACTTGAAACTTTTGGCTGTGTCGGTCATTTTGTGGCTCCCCATATATGTTTTTTTTAATGATAGATTTAGATTGTAAGTTCATTTCAATACTGATTGTTATTCATTTTTATATGAATAGAAGAGTTTAATGAGAAAGTAATTTAAAAAAAACATTAGATCCCGAAATCAAACTAGATGTCGCTACGATACTTTCTTATTTTCTCCATGATAACCATTCCAGTTTTCTTTTATGTGTATTCTATTTGTACTTTTTCATATTTGTATTGATATCTAAGTTTCAAACTTTGGAAATTTCAGTTCTTTAAACTGAAAAGGAACGGAAATTACTGTCTTTGGTCCATTCGTTTCCTGCAAAATTAACTTTTTGTAGAGCCTCCATCTAGTAGAGGTGCTTTTTAAGTGCTTTCCCTTTTTTTAATGCTTCCTCATTGCAAAATGTATTTTTGTCACTTACCGATTTTCAACACGATTATACCAATTTAAGAGGGCAACAATACCGATTCCATTCTATGGGGTTACAGACCGTTGCACTATTTGTCTTCTTGTCACTTGTTTAGAATTCTTTTGCGTTGTTAACGTTTTGTCTCTATAATTTCATTACAAGGTAAGTATAATCCATTGAAAACAATCTGCACAATACTTTACAATTTATTGCACACATTACTATGTACAACTTTAGTAAATTAAGCCCCATGTAAACTACCAAATTTGTTATGCCGGTAGCCCATTCAAGATGAGCTGTCCATTCAACGAAGAACAACTGACTCAATTAAAAGCGTTTGTGGAATTATGCAAAGCGACGCCGCAGATTCTACACCATCCAAAACTGGTATTCTTCAAAGACTATTTGGCGTCTCTTGGTGTCAGTATCCCAACACCTACCTTCGGCTCGCAAAGCTCCGCACCGTCTGGTGATTCGTATGTATATTTTTGAATTTTTATGAAAATATAACTATATATTTAAAGACGTTCCAAAATTGAGGAAGTTTATGTGCATTAATGTGGCTGGTAAGAATACTTTTCAATTATTGTGATTGTATTGCCGTCTGTATATACTTAGAATTACAGTAAATTTATGGTAATTTTAAATAAAATAAGGAAGTATGATAACAAACTGAAATTATGAAGATCTTTCCTAACCTTTCAATTAATAGTGATGCAAATTTATTTTTAAACTTCTATTGTTTTTAATCACTTTGTCAGCGACAAAGTCTATCATTACTATTAAGTACACAAATAAATAACATAAGCTTTTGATATAGTATGTTTGTAAATCTCTTGGCTCCCTCAGAATCAAATAATGTATTACTTCAGTAAATGTGATTGTGCTAGATATTGAATTTGATTTATCACAAAATAGTGCTGCTGAATACAACCTATCTGAAATGTTGAATAGTCTTTGTTATTAGTTGTTGCTTGTATTGTTTTCTTGCAATTTCTTTATATTTGCCCACCTTCCTTCCTTCAAAAAGTTAGCTAAATCAACAAGCTTACTGTTGATTGCAAAGTCAATCTCAATCCAATCCAATGACTATCTCAATTTTCATTGAATCTTAACTCTAATCTTGAAACATACCTAGTCTCATTTTGTACATTCAATTACCACTGAATATTGAGCCAATTGGTGCTGGTGTACCAAATCAATAGTATGAAATGACACATCAGTCAATCACGATTGTATTCTAGCGGAAGCCTGTTGGCTGCCTATTCTCAATTTTTTTTTGTATGTTTAATTAATAACAATATTTTTTATTCTAGAAACACCAGTAACATTAATGCAGAGGAGAAAATGGTATCTTCTGAAGAAGAATCAGAACCAGAGTCAGATGTGGAGCTGGACATGGAAGGTATTAATTTTAATTAATTAAGCAACATCTTTAAATATTTTCTGCCTTTTTTAGGTTATTTACAATAGAATCTTGTCTTAATATTATTTTTTTTTAATTTTTATGTATTTTTATTAAACTGAAATTGATTCACCTGTCATTTCACCTAACAATTGCATATAAAAACATGTAACAGGTGAATGGAATTGTATAGTCCTTTGTATCAGTTTATCATTTTGTTTTCTAAATAAAACAAAACTATCAAAGGTTATTAACAAAATAATTTAAAACCTTACAGAAATATAGTATAATTGAGCTTTATATATTATAGATATGATTTGAAATAAGATAAGTAACATGTTGTTGAGTTCAATAAAAAAAATACAATAAAAGATGATAAAAACAATTACAAACAAGAGACCTATATATTTCTACACTATGTTTATCCCATAAACACATGATTTTATAGCCTTATTGATTAAAAAATGTCAATTTTCTTCAATGGCAGGAGTTATTGAACCTGATACACTAGACAATGAACAAAACAAATTTGATTCAACAAAAGAACCCACTGATGAGGAGCGTGATCAATCTGATGAGAAACGATCTGAAGCTATGCGAGCATTCTCAGAACAACAGTTTGATGAGGCCATAAAGCTTTACACTGAGGCTATACAGCTCAATCCACAGAGTGCTTTGTTATTTGCTAAGAGAGGGCAGGTGAGTACATTAAAAACTTAACCAAAACAAACATTTACATTACATACCAGTTTGAGCATTGACATCACAAATCAATAAATATGAGTACAGTAGGGTAATTCTACTAATATTAATGTGATTATGGAAAGTCAACAAATAGTGCTTCAACTACAACACTTTATAACACAGATCTTGTTATTAGACAAAAAAATAATACATTTTCTGTCCCTATTGATTTTGTGATGATGACATTACACTAATAATATTGGACTTCAGGTAGATTGTACAATGGTGGTAAAAATTAGCAAAATAGAGGCCTTTGTTGCATTCTCAACAAAGACATTGACATTTAGTTTATTGAAATTTCACATCACACAATTCTCTGTTATGACCACCAGTTTCAGTTCAAGTAATGCAGAAATTGTAAATCCAAGTGTAATCCACATACATTTTAAAACAAATACTTATTATTTACTTGTAAGTTACCATTACCACAATATTTCATAATCATTTATCATAACTGCTTTTACAATTTTGGTGTAATACTCTTCAAAACTTTTAGAAATAACTTAAAAAATATCACAATGGTGCCTACTATTGCCATATTTTAATTATGCTTACTCGTACATTATGTGCTGTGTATTATACTTAACAAAAATCATGCATCTTGCAGGTCTATCTTAAACTCAACAAACCCAATGCCTGTATCAGAGATTGTACTAGAGCCTTAGAACTGAACTGTGATAGTGCTGCTGCCTATAAATTCCGTGGACGTGCTTACAGGTATATATATTTTTTTATTATAGGCTCTCTTGACTTCAATCTGGGCCAAGGACATGAATGAGATCTATGGAGCTTATAAGCTTGCCTAAAAGGAAGCTCAACCCTTTAAGATTATATTTCAAAATAAAAACTTTCCTGTGTCCTTTTCTAAGGTCAACTTATTACTGTGTATCAAAGTTCATTATTTTTGGTTCAGTAGTTTAGGCGTACATTCGCAATAATGTTAGTATATTTATAAAAAGTCGATCAATTTCTTACCTCTTTTTATAACAACATAAATTTTACACAGATTTTTCTTACCTGAAAATAGTTCAAAAATTTTTATTCTACCAAAACATTGAAATCTGAAATCCACATGAACTGATTTCTAAGGAAAAATCTAGTTCTCTGGGCTACCAATTTACAGCTTGAAGGGACAATTTCCCTTTTGTCCCCCATACCAATTTCCCCGTACCAAAGGATGACTACACCACATCTTACATAATCAACATTTGTTTACTTTATTGGTTATTTTCCATGCATGTATTTTTAACTTTGATAACATCACTTTTTAGATCACTCACAAGTTAACAACTTTAAAAAATATACATAATGTGTTAATTCAGTCAGTCAAGACAAGAATCCCACATCTTAGAGAAAAGATGCTTTATTAGCTTCATGAACTTGCCTGCATTGACACCACAGTACTAAACATTCTATTATCAAAGTAGTAAAATTTCATTGGGTTAACTGCAAAAATATTTATAGGTTACTAGGGAAGTTTGAAGAAGCATCGCATGATCTATGTGAATCCTTAAAGATTGACTATGATGATCAAGCCAATGAGTGGCTTTCAGAAGTAAAGCCCAACGCTGAGAAACTGCGTCAACACAAACTCAGTGTACATCGGAAGAAGGAAGAAAAAGAGGTATGTGTGCTATTTGTGATCCGTTTCACATAGGATGGGTATAGTGACGTTTGTTAACTAAGCCATTTAAGGCAATTTGTTTTTTCAAAAAAAAATAGAAATCATCCTTACAAAATATAGTTTGATGTGTATTAGATATTGTGGATGTACTGATTTTTGAACGCAATTACGTCATCAAAATAGGGGCCAGGTGCATTAGCAATTTGCGGGGATTATATCATGTTTTATTTATAGTATTCAACGACTTTCATTTTTGTATAGCACCGCGCGAAGCTTCGTCGTGCTCGCAAAGCGGCTGAAGCGCGGGCTAACGCTGCGAAGGCGCAAGCGGGGGCGGGGATGGGGGCGCGTCCTCCCCCCGCTGGCTTTGACCCGCAGAACTTCAGCAACCTACTGTTCGACCCGGAGATCATGTCCGCTTTTCAGGTCTGTATAATAGAGTTAGATGATATACATATCCTGGGTGAATTGGTAAATTAGGATCACATATATTCAACACACGCACGCACGCACACACACACCAAACACACACACGCGCGCGCGCATGAATGAAGTATACGCAAGAATGTATGATTAAGATAACGCCACAAGATCACCGTAACACGTAAAAATTAAGATGATTGATTAATACCAACAAAATAGTGATGATGAGTTCGTTTTCCTTTGAATTCTCACACTCGTATCTATAGTCGAGTGGAAGTAAAATACTTGAGTAAAAGTAATAAGTAAATATTTTTTCCAAACAAGAATTTGAATAAAGTAGCTTGGTAGCATAGTAGATAAGCGCCGCGGCCCGCGATCGCTGTTGTTAAGCAACTGTCGCAAGGGTTGTAGGATAGGTGATCAAAACTATTATTATCTCGAGCTAATCCGTGCTTCGGAAGGCACATTAATCCATTGGCCCTGGCTGCATTTATAATTGTTGCCTATCCAGCATGGAGGGTCATGGCCCATCCTCCTTAATAATCTATAAGGACGGCCTGAGCCCCTGTAATGTGGACGTAAAAAGGCTCTTTATCTGAATTTTACTATTTCATTATTTTTTTTTTAATTAAAAATATTTGCTTAGGTTATGTATGACTTTTACTCAAGTAATTCCTTCTAATTGACTATAGATATGAGGCTTAAAGTGTGAATTGTACTATTGCCTATAGTTTCAGGAATAGAAGAACTGTCATCCATACATAGTATAACACAAAGTCGCTTCTTGCCGTCTGTACTCTGAAATCATTTAATCTACACAACGGAAGTTGAATATACACTAATCATTTATTAAATTACTAATATCAATCTAAGATTCATTTTTAGTGATTCCTCATTCTCAATTCCCAGGATCCGGAATTGGCTGCGGCATTCCAAGACGTATCTGCGAATCCAGCCAATTTCGTAAAGTACCAGAACAATCCTAAAGTTGCTGCTGTCATCGAAAAGTTACAAGCCAAACTCGGCAAAGGAGGCGCTGGCGGTTTCCCTGGAGGATTCCCTGGTGGCTTCCCAGGTAATTAATAAATATTAAACGAAATCACGTACTTTGCACGATTATTGATGTTTAGGATCTCGATGGCGCGGTACTTAGCGCGTTCGGTCTGCGATACGGTTTTTAAGCAACTTTCGCAATGGCCGGTATGGGATGGGTGACCAAATATTTATTATTTCGAGCTCCTCCGTGCTTCGGAAGGCACGTTGAGTTGTTGGCTGAATCTGCAGTCGTGAATACCCACCAATCCAAACTGGGCCCGCTTGCTAAGAAATAGGGAAAACGTGAAAATACTGGGACATTAATAGGCTGATGATGATGACATTCATTGCTCAAATTGTAAAATTAGTAGCTCAAAGCCTCCATTTTTTGGAGTGTATGAGAAAACGAAAGTACCACAACATTCAGACCCGAGACAATATAGAAAAGGTTATTTTATAAATTGTCCCAAACGAGAATGGAACTCGGAACCTCAAAATTCCCTAGACACCCGCGTGCGAACCACTTTACTACGGTGGTCGTAATACAGGTGTAGAAAGTAAACTCAAATAAATGCATATTATTATTTTTTTTCTAGTAGTATTACCATAAAGATACTACAGTGCTTATTATATTTATAATATTAACTTGTTTAAGAAAAAATAATTACTTTAAACTCGTTGTCACGTGACTGTAAACAGGGTGTGACGTAACGCCCGTCTAAGCAAGATGTCATAAATTTGACGTTTGTTTTCTTATAAAACACGATTTACTTGAGCAGTCTGAGTTTTCATTACGAAGCGAAATATACGGATTACGGACAATGGAGTTCGGTTTTATTAGAGCCAATAGGTCAAATATGCTGAGAATAGATATATTAATGGTGGAATGTACCTCGGGAGCAATATTAATTTCTGTGTCATCAGAGTCTCGGAATGTGGAGACATATAAGTAAGTAAAATATTTCCATATCAACAATTACTATTTTTATTTTGTGGCACCAATATAAAATTATAAAAATTTAAATAGTACTGCAAAATGGCGTGTGCGTCCCGAAGAGCGATTCCGTAAAAATTAGAAGAATTTAAATTCACTCAGGTGTCCGAATAGGGAATATGCACATTGTTGGAAAATGTTTTTATATGATAATTTACATCGATATATAACTGTAAAAAAATACCCGGCACCGAAAAACTAAAATTTTGAAACATTACATTTTACATTTTAATTTATGAAAATAAGTAATAGTTACGAGCAGTTTAAACACCTGAATTTTTGGCGCACTCGTGACGTCAAATTACACGACTAGTGATATGACATTTTAAATCAATATGGATTTTGAGTGATTGATTATTATTCAATTACCCTAATCGATTAACGACAAATCGATTTTTTAAAGTATAATAGACTTATTTAATAAATCATATAATTTACCATATTGGTGAAATAAAAATAAAAGCCTAAAACATCATTTAAATTGTAATCAGTTGTTATTTTGCGACATAATACATTGATGTTATTGCATCGATGTTAACTTTTTGTAATAACGACATCCCTATACGTGTACATTTTCGTCACATCCGCTCTGACAAGTAACATGGCGTTTAAATATTTTGAAGTTACCGCGTTTATTTTGCACTTTTTAATAATTATTTTCAAGATGAAAACGAACTAATGTTGAAAAATAATTAGATATACTTTATTCTAAAGCAATAACGGTTGTAATAAAATATATTTAACCCCTTTTTGAATCAGACTCATATTCCCTATTTACTTGGAAAATGACAATCGCTTAACCTTGAATTGGTATTAACGTTTCGTGGCGTAAGTCAATTTTGAGTTTGGAAATGAAAGGTATAGAATATCTGAGACATGTGACTCAATCGTGTTTTGTATTTTTATACAAAAAAAAATGGAATTAAGAGAATTTCTTCACTAGATGACATGAATTCGGACCCATGAGAACACTAAGTGAGAATACAAAGTCATTTGTTGTCATTATGGTTGTTGAACGAGACAGCGTTGTTCAGAGTACAGAGATTCTGGACAGCGCTGCGTCACCGGTGGATATAAACATGAGGTCGCAGTTTTAATGTAATTGCATATAAGAAGTGAGAAACCTTCTTGTACTGAAATTTCACTCAAATTTTGTTTAGCATCTGAACTGTCCAAGAAAAGTTACACTTATCTTTTGACAGTTTGTTAATGTGCCATTTGATTCAGGTGATGAAGTTTGATGCAGAAACATAAAAAGGAAAATTACAGACAGAAATTATAAAATACCTATCAAATCAACTTTCAAAATGATATCGAAGAGTATTCATTGCATGAGCTTATATTAAAATATAGAGAGCCTTGCATTGCAAACATTGAAATTCATACCAAATATCAAAATATCAGCCTCAAAGGCATATGAAGTAGGCAGATGTGAGACTGCTGATGGAGCGGCAAGGTGCCCGAAATAGCCAGCATAAAGAGAGGAACTGTCTTGGAAGACAATGTTTTTCACATGATTAAGAAAGATTGGGAAAAAAAAAACAAAAAAATGGGGTCTTTTTATTTCAAAAGATACACCCATAATCGCTGGTCTTCCAAATGGTATATATGGTGATGATTTTGTAATTGAAACTATGTACCCGATAAATGAGAACACTAATAAATTATATTCAAGATGGAAGAGTGTAAAATAAATTGTGTTAAAGTTCAGTCTCAAATATATGTGATGGAAATAAAAATAAATGTTTATTCTGTATAGCCTATTGGGATTTCCGCAAAAATAATAAGTTGAAATTATTGTTGTTGGTTTTGATCATGATTATGTTTTAAAAATGATAAATAATCTGATAAGTTATTGGAAAGCAAAATATATTTCCATTATTACACCAGGTCACCCCATATACCTAATAAAGTGTAGCTATGTATATGATTAAAATGATTTAGGTTACAGAAGTACAATAAAACACTAAGCTTAGTTTATTTAAATTATTGTTTTTATTTCTTAATTAAAGATTTTTTTAATTTATTGGTCCACATCCAATGACTATAACATCATCTAAATATTATGTATTTTACTGTATTAGTCTTTTTGTATTTTACCAAGTCAGTGATTGGTGGGTGGAATAGCTTTATAGGTAATCTTTTTTTTTTTATAGCATATTCATCTAAAATTATTATAAACTCTCGCAGGAAATTTGAAATGATATGCAAAATCAACCTGCATATGACTAAGTCATTGCAAAATCATGACGAAATTCAAAGAAGGCATTATTTAAACAACTTTTTTAAACATAATATGCTCTGGAATTCCAACAAATTGATTCATAAAAAAAAATATAGGAACTACTTGGAATACCTATAAAGTGGTTTTTTCTATGTTATTTACAGTTAATTTTATGATTGATTGTGATAACTCTTCATGTTTTAATTTCTTTTTTAAAAATCACCACTTCTCTTGAAGGGAACATAATAATGGAAATATCATTGATAGGTCATATTCTACATGTTTATTTCTACAGGATGGTTTTTCTTTTGCATTTGGTTTTACGTAATATATTTGGGAATTGAGATGTAGAAGAAGCAGATGTGATTGATATCCTAATTGGTGAAGTCTGCTTAGTATGCTGGAAAATAGAAGGTGTTTGAGTGCACTTGCTTCTATATTTAGTTCTGATATTCACTTGAACTCCTCTGTTAATTTTCAAAACTTCAGTTTTTTGTTGTTCTGTAAAAAATAAGTTATGTTAGATTAAAGGTCTTCATGACAGGGCCCTTACCAGATTTTTTAAGAGTAAACATTAGAAACATTTCTTTGGATCTAAATAAATTACATTAAAACATTGTTTTGAGCTTTAATAGCCTAAGCTAGTTTGACAATCAATCCAGTTGGATTCTACAGTATGTCAATGGGTTCAACTACTGGGCTTTTATAGAAAAGTTGTGCTAGTGCTTATACACACACACAGAACAGGTGATCAGATCTAAATAACAAATGCCTTATATCTGCACTCATGCTTAAAAATAAATTTAAAAGATGGGTATTGTTTTAGTACCAGAACACCCTGGAGCCACTTTACTATCTTCATCACACCTTTGAGTTACTAATCCTTGATTTCGTTCTTCATATTTTTTTATACATTCTTCGATCAAAGATTTTCTTTGCTTTTTATCAGATGATTGGCTACTCATATCAGAAGTATGTTTTCTATCAGGTTGACAGACAAATTTAGTAGGAAGGCTATCTGGTTTCATCCGTATCTGAGACACTGAACCCGTTATATGATATTCCATAAAATTTTCCATGTCATTTGGCAACTGAAATAACAATGTTTAACGTTAAACATAACCTATAAACATGTATATTTTATTTGAAAACAAAATAAAAAAATATTTATATAATGCTTACATCAAAATGATCTTCACAGAAGTAAACATTTTTCGCTATTGGTGGTTTTTCTCTCCTCGCAAGTCGATACCACTGTTGTCGTCTTTCTTTATGCGTTGGAACGTATATAAATAGTTTTTGTGGGGTTTTTATAGTTGTGTTATGACACAAGGGCACTGCACAATACTTATAGAACTTATTATCCATTTTAGTTCACTAAACAAAAGATTACACTCTGAAAAACACTGATTACCGACCGCTTATATAGAACGTGTATAAAACGATATTTGTTGTTGTTATGTTAGGTTTACAGGGGCGTGATGTCACATAGACGCCATGACAGAAGATAATAGGGTGGTGCAACGGTAAATCGGAAAATCGATACCCAAAAATATCGATATCGAATGAAATCCTATAAGTAAATGTATATCAGTTGTCCAAATTTTAACATACAACTGTATTTTCACACGTATTATTACATTAGTAACACGTGTGAGATTACTTCGTAACCCTGATGTTTTGCTTTGTAATTTGTAGTAGTTTATATTATTATAATACCGGTGTAGACATATAACGAAAATAAATACCTATTTTTTTCTGTAGTAATGTTTAATATACTATTACCAATAATCACATTTTTATGCGTATTAAAATTAAAATA